CTAAAGGAACAACTTTGTCCAAGTACCATCTTGAAATAAGTAGTGGCTTTAAAAAGGTCTCTTCAGGTCTCTAATTGTCAATGAGAAGCAAACAAACATCCTGAAACCCAGTTGAAACTTACTGCTTCTGACTAGGGTAGGACATCCAGTGGGTCATATAGCTTATGTGTGACTCCTTCTGTCTGGGCATGTGAATTGTGTGTGTTTTTTTTCAATTAAACACATTTTATTTTAGATCATGGGGCTTTTTCGCCTCCTCCCCCCGCTCTTCCCTTCCTCCTTCCTTCTCTCTCAAACTTATAGAAAAGTGGCAAGTGCAGTACAAAAATGCAAAGAACCTTTTATCTTGCCAAGTCCATTAGGAATGAATTACTGACATGATGTCCTAATCCCATTATACAGAGTGAAGTAAGCCAGAAAGATAAACACCAATACAGTATACTAACGCATATATATGGAATTTAGAAAGATGGTAACGATAACCCTATATGCAAGACAGAAAAAGAGACAGATGTATAGAACAGACTTTTGGACTCTGTGGGAGAAGGCAAGGGTAGGATGATATGAGAGAACAGCATTGAAACATGTATTTTTTTTTAACAGATGCTCTCTCTTACTGTTGCTGTTTAGTCGCTAAGTTGTGTCCAACTCTTTGTGACCCCATGGACTGTAGCATGCCAGGCTTCCCTATCCTTCACTGTCTCCTGGAGTTTGTTCAAACTCATGTCCATTGAGTTGGTGATGCCATCAAACCATCTCATCCTCCGTCTCCCCCTTCTCCTCCTGCCCTCAATCTTTCCTAGCATCAAGGTCTTCTCCAGTGAGTCAGCTCTTTGCACTAGCTGGCCAAAGTATTGGAGCTTTAGCTTAAAATCAATCCTTCCAATGAATATTCAGGGTTGACTTCCTTTAGGACTGACTGGTTTGATCTTCTTGTAGTCCAAGGGACTCTCAAGAGTCTTCTCTAGCACCACAATTTGAAGGCATTAATTCTTCAGGTCCAACTCTCATGTCCACACATGACTACTGGAAAAACCATAGCTTTGACTATACAGACCTTTGTTGGTAAAGTGATCTCTGCTTTTTAATATGCTGTCTAGGTTTGTCATAGATTTCCTTCCAAGGAGCAAGCATCTTTTAATTTCATGGCTTCAGTCATCATCCTCAGTGATTTGATTTTTAAATCCAAGAAAATAAAATCCGTCATTGCTTCCACTTTTCCCCCTTCTGTTTGCCATGAAGTGATAGGACCAGATGCCATAATCTTTTACTGTTAGGTAGAATAAAACACAAGAGACTGCTACCATAGAAGAATTATGTTCTTGGAGATTCATCATTTCAAATATAGATCATTTATCAGACCACCAGACAGAAACATGAGACCACACTGTTCTACAGAAAAAGGTAAAGCTCTGTGAATATAGAAAAGATGAAAAAAAAAAAAAAGTAGGCGATTGACAGAGTTTGGTTTTGCACTTTGGAGGCAATTTGTGTGCTAGGCACATGCTTTGTTGTTATAGCAGAAAAACAGAAGAAAAGTTGCTAGTTTTACAGAGTTCTATTCAGAAAGACACTAAAAAGAGGGCAAGCCTTTTTGACATATGTGTGTGTTAGATTTCTAGTTTTATTAATGGTCTCAAAAGAAACTATAAAGCACTAAAAGACAATTTGACATTAGTAGGGCTGAAAACCAGAAATTCAGACCAAGAAAAAATATTTTAAAATCTAGAGATTCAAATTACAATTGTACTATAAAAATGCCCTCCAAATAGAAAAATATTCTCTAGAGTCACAGAAATAACCCAACTTAACCAAATGCCACAGGAATGGAAGTCCTTCAAAGACAGGGACCAAGACTGCTCTCTTTAGTGCTGTATCTAACATAACACCAGGGACAGAGCAGGTGTTCAGCAAAAACATACCAAATGCATGAAGAAAACAAAAGCCTAAAATTATCAAAACCAAAAGTTCCAATTGTGAGATAAAACCTGTAAAAAAATATCATGGTAAGCTGGCTCTTGACAAAGTGTCATCTGAAAAATCCTGTTGAAGCAGCTTAATAAAAGTGTTGGGTTGAAACACCCCATGACTAGAAAGTTGTAAAACAACTGGAGAAGGTCCAGAGCCAAGCCTGACTTGCTCCAGATGATAGAGAATGACAGCCAGACTTATTGTTTGCATTCCTGTCTCTGCCTTTTGGTGAGCAGTTTCCGCTCCAACCAAATCGTCTCATTTTTAATTTACTCTATTTATATGTCTAATGATTTAATATCACACTATACCAGTCTGGCCTTCAGGTGCCCTTGACACACATTTTTCTGACTGACCTTTCCATATACTATACATAAACCAGCCAGAAATCATTTATCTCCACAGGAGTATCTCAGGTGAGGATCATGGTTTTACTTCTTTCTCCAGAAACAGCCTTTTTCACAGGCTCCGTCTGAAAAGAGGCACCCTCCCTCTCCGCCCCCACCAACCCATGTCTTCTGTAAGCTGTCCAGACATGGAGGCATCAGATCAGGTCTTCTAGTCATTCCACTGCTTGCAAAGCAATCATTTACAGGCGTTTGGTGTTTGGTCTGACATCTTTTTGATGCCGAAGCTCCAGCCTTTGTCTCCATGAATCACTTGTCAGTAAAGGCTGTGGCATTCTAGGCTGGATTTCACACCTTCTGGAAGGGTTGCCTGTGATGTAAGTGATCTTAGGCTTTTTTGAAATGACCACCTCCCCCACTTCTCTATATGCCATGAGGGAGATCTGGGAATCTGATGCTTATTCAAGGCTTATTTTCATTTGTCAGTATGTATCTTGTCCCTGTGTATTTGGAGCCAGGTTTTCCTCTCTGGGTACAATACTGTCAACTCACCTCCACGGCTGTAAAGTTGTTGCTAACAAAGAACCGGGATGAACTATCTCTGTAGAGTAATTTGAGAACATCAGAATGAGAGGGAGAGGTTTTGGAACAATAAAGGAAGAAGGGAAAAGAAGAATTCATCATTCTTTGGTAGTTTGCAGATCACTTTTTCCCCCCAGAGGATCATTTTTTTTAAAGTGCCACTTGATGGCCATGCCCAAGTCGGTCACAGCTATAGAGACATGCACTGAAGCACTATGGGGTCAGGAGTCAGACTGGGTCATAAGCCAGGCTTGTCCCAGCAAGGCATGAAATCGAGGAGTCCTTTTCCTTATTCTCCAAACTGGCACCAGTGACCTCACAAAGTATATATGGTAAGTGAAGCTGCTTTAAACCACAAAGCCTGAAACTACTTCCTTCTGAAAAATGATTATTCAAATTACATATCCCATGGAAACTCCCTGCAATTTGAGGACTTGAGCAGAGGATTAAAATGTTGGGGTGAGCTATAAGCCTAAGAACATCATTGGTGGCCTTTCTAACGCAGGATCCAATGATCAGAGCCATCCTCAGAGCAGAGATGGAAATGTACAGAAAATGTGATAGAAGAATCATGCACTTTTTACTTCACCCTCTTTTGTAAGGAAAGAAGGATGTATATTGGAGAGATTCTTCTCGGTACCTTTTAAATCTTTTGCACTGGTTTTCACAGAACACCACTTCATGAAGAGGTTGTCACACACAGATGAATGCCCTGGATGGGAAGTAAGAAGTTCCAGCTCTTAGGAAACAGTAGGTGGAAGGAGAGTTTTTCATTCAAAGAATATGGGAAAAGGGGAGGGGAAACTGATATCCCATCTAAGGCTTCTGGGTCTCACAGGGATCCTTTTCATGTTCCTAAATCAGCCCGAGGGGGGTGGGGCAGGGTGCCAAAATGGGCTCATCAGTCACTCCGTGCATCCAAGCTGGAAAACATTTAACCCTGAGATGCAAATCATTTAATCATGCTGACTCAGTAGGGACCAAAAGTTGTGAACCCTTGGGATCCAGGAATTCCCAACATGATGTGATAATGCATTTCACAGCATGAACTTCAGATCTCTAGGACCCAGGCTGGGAAAAAGATGGCAGGGAATCTACATTCTCCTAAAGTTTTACCCTTCCCTACAAATGCATTGAAAAGGAGGGATCCCCAAGGGGAACTCCCACTTCCCGCCCCCTCCACGTATCTTTTTCTTTCTGTTTGCACCATTAGGTCAGGAGGTTAATGAAAATGCACTCTAAAATTATAAAGAGGATAAAGCCAGGCATGAATATTAGATTTCCACTGGAGTCTGAATATTCCATTTGCACTTTTTTAAGAAAACCCCATTGGCTGCAAATCTTACAGTTTTGTCCACATTTTGCCTGGATATGTCTGAGGTGCTTAGAAATTTGGTAAATGCTAATTGCCTACCTTGGAAACAAAACTAGGAAGGCTGGTTGGTTCCCAGCCTAGACATGAGGTGTTGCAGGCTTTCTGTGTAGTTGAATAATTTGTCAGGATAATGTTGGGAGCAAACAAGAGTTGGGGATTGTATTTTTCATTTTCTATCATGTATTCTTCCCCTCCCCTTTTTCTTTAGCTTCTTCGTCCATCTATTTTTTTTGTTTTTCTTTTACAGAATACTCTTATCCTTAGGATGGACCTGTAAATACACAGCATTTCCTCTTGAGTCACTTAAAAATATTTACTTACTTCTTTGGGGCATCAATCCACCTTAAAGGACAAAGTTCACTGCACCAAACAGCTACTCTTAGAAAGCTGCTTTTACAGCAAATATTATAAAATGATGCTTTGATTGAAGGATGACATCTGACATTAACGTCTCGATTGTGCTCACTCATTCTGAAGGAATGGCTCCAATGAAAGTAAATTGCTGCTGAAGACAAACCAACTGGAAAAGACCCTTGTGCTTTTTTTTTTCTTTCTTTTTTGTCTCTTAAGGTTTTCACAATGGCTTCAAAGGCAACGTGAATTAATCATCTGTTTTGACCCAAGAGCAGCAGAACTTATTTTGAAGACTTAAACAGGCAACACAAATGTAAACAGAAATCTGGGACTCCCAAATGCTAAAGTTGGAAGGAGTCAGTCTGAAAACATCAATTCTACTCAGCGTTTATTTTCACTTGAAGATAGTGGAAATCATATAAATCACGGACAAAACGAGTTCTTCTTGCCTGGCAATTGTCCACATGAATCTGTTAACCTTTAATTATAGATACAGAATTTTTTAATAGAAAGACAGGGCAATATGGCAGTTAGTTAGCAACTGATACTGTAAACTACAGGAGATACAAAGTTCTGTCATATAAATTAATTGCCATTACAAAAAGGCAACTGCTTGAGCTAAGAAGGTACAAAACTGGTAACTTCCATAAATATAACAAGAAGCTAAGTGAAGAAATACATAACAGACTGTTTTTCCTATATAATATTCGAATATGCAAACTAAGACACCTGTGGCACTTTACATGAAAGTAGGAATATGACAGACCACGCACACCACCCTCCCACCCACCCATGTCCGTCCAGGCCCCCCTTCCCCAAGTGGATTTCCCAAACACAGCAAATTCTAGGGTTACAAGGACAGGATGCCGCATGGAAGCAGCAAGACAGCGAGCTCTGAACTGCTAGACAAAGAAGGAGCCTTATTGACAGTTGTAAAGCATTAGGCGTCAGACAGAAACTTGTCAAAAACAGCTGTTGTTGGGTACTGATTGATAATGTTTTCATTCTGACGGCTGAGACACTGCAGACAGTCGTGGGTCTGAGAAGAAGCCCATCCCTGGCGCACACATGAACACACACACAGACAACGGGAAGTCATTTAACAGATGGCTTAGGAGCACTCAGCTACAGTATCTTAAAAAGACAACATTGTACATTTAATGAACTTGCAGAAAAAGCAATGCCTAATAATCATTTATTTTTCATAGAAGATGAGCACAACAGGACAAAATAAAAGCAGGAACTGTGCAAGTGGTCATCGGAATAAAAGTTTTGTGCTGCTCATGGGTTACGTTTTAAAAATATTCCAGGATGCTGCAGACCAAATCTGAATATGAATCTTTTTGGATCCATTTCATTAAAAAAAAAACAGAAAGCTTAAAAGAAGTGTTCAATATTTCAAAGGTAATGATTTCCTTAAAATTCATCCACAAGATCAAACCACAAAAACTGTATCTGAATGACATGTATCTTCTGGAGAATTACAAGGTATTACATCACCTTGTAATAGAATTCGAGTCTGTGGTATTTGGGAATCAGTCAATGGAAAAAAAATTCCAAACATGTTTTTATTGCTCAGGTGAAAGGAGCAGTTTTTTCTCATTTGTTCACTTTGTAGTTTAAATGGTCAAAAATCTACAAAATGTGCCAAAGGGTATTCTATCTATCCATTAACCTCAATATCCATAGATTATTCCTGATTTAGAAAAAGTCAAAGGTGCCAAAACTTAGTAAAACTGTACATTTATCTCTGTATAATTTTATCATTTAAACTAAATGCAAAAAACAAAAACAAAAAAACAGTTCCAAAGACTGAATCTAGGCCTTAAAATTATTTATTTGCTGCAGCCCTAGCACATTATTAAGGGCATACTGAAACCCCTGAAAATAGAGGTTTATAATAGAAATACTGATAGACCTTTAATTACTGGATGGAGACATTGACAGACTCCATTAAACTACATTAGCACTTATTGAATGACTATACAGATGATTCTGCCTTTATTATCTTTGTCAAATCCATGCCAGCTTAAGCCTTAGCCAGTATAAACTATACTTCATTTGGCTGTTTTTAAAAAGTTTTGTCTATTATTTTAAAAATTACTTTCTCTATATCAATCAGACATAAGATTTTTAGAAAAAGGTTTTCAGAAACATATTACACTGCAGCTTGACTTAATGTTGGGTAATTTTTCCATTAAAAAAATATTTGAGGACTTGATGAACAGTGATGCATACACTGTGCCTAAATTTCCTCTAACTTTTCTCAAAAATGGAAATAATGTCTTTGCTCTTAGCAAAGAGCAGACTGAGGGAGACTTTAGATGTAATTAAAAAAAATTAGGCATCTTGTCTTTAAGTTCTTTGAAGTCAATTTTACTATGGCAAGGATATTCCTTTCTGATAAGGTGATTAACTGAAGTTTTTGATGCTTATTTTTTCCCATATGCTGTAAGGCCAGTATACAAAAAAACTTAAAAATAAGATAAAACCACAAACAGATTTTGAAAATGATACACATATTATGGGGGATGCCAGTCACACAACATTCCACCCCAAACCCAGGGTCAATGAGCCAAGGTTCTCAGTCTCCCTGAGTCCTCTATACGGGATTTGATTTCTATGGGCCACAAATTCCATCCATTTTAACACAGAGAAGAGCCGCTTAGAACAACAGAAGGAAGAGACATGAGGTGAAGATAATTAGTGGTAAACAGAGAATAAATTCTCTCTCAGTAGTGTGTACTTGACGGTAATGCCGATGATAAGTCACCTGATTTACAGAATATTTACTTTAATAGAGAGATGAGAGTTTGAGATAACTGGAAGAAAACAGATACTAAAGCTATTACAGTCCAGATACTAAAATAAAATTAAAGGGAGAAACTAACATGATAGGTTCAAGGCCTTGTGGGAACCCATTTTCTTCACCAGATTTCACATTCTTACAGCTTCATGGTCTTTTTCTTCTAACAAACTTATCAGCTGAGAGAAGCTGTCTTTCAGTGCCTCCATGTCATCCAGCGAGCAGGGCTGCAGAATCCAGCGTTTTCCACGTGCAAGTGGTTCAAGTTCAAAATATTTTTTGACCTTAATTGGGGGGAGGGAGAGAAACAGATTATTAATTACATCGGAATCTTTCTCTTACTGAAATTTTGTGAGTTATGAAGTAGGGGAATTTTAAGAAGCTATGTGAACTTGATGTTCAGGACTTTCTAGAATCCCATCTGCAGCTGTGGTTATAATATAGGTTATATGTTGTGACCCGGGAGTGTTTTCTTTAGGGGTGAATGAACTGCTTGCAAGCTACCATTCCACCCATTCACTTAACAGCATGGGAGGTCTGATGAAGTCTGAGAAAGAATTATATGTACTATGGCACAGGTCAAAAATACATAGCAGAACACCAAAAAGTTGCAATTCAATCAAAGTAATTCTAGCAGAATTGCTTTCATTATGTCACCTTGCTAACTTACTAAACTGGTGACAGCCAATAATATGTACACTATCAATTACACAAGACAATCATTTTGCTCAAACATACACACAACAAAAAATATAATTTAAATAAGCCTTTGTATCTCTCATTTAAATATGTGTCTCTGGCATATATTTCTGAGACCTGGGAAAGTGGTTTTCTAGTTGGAAACCAAGTGCATGTATATGCATATATATTCTCATATAAATATACATACACACATAAAGTCTCTTAGCTTTTTTTCCTCCCAGTCTTGAATTTTCAGGGAGAAAAAAACCAAGACTTTATAACTGTTATGTGGGGTGTAGCATGTGCTATCGGAAAACCTATTCTACTATGAACTGGTCACAAGTCACTCTCCGTGTGTGTGAGGTAGGATACTGACTAATAGCATACAGGATTACCAACTCTGGACAGCAAATAAATAACAAATTATCATGGTTTCCAGAAGTATTGATGATGTTTCTCTCAAAGGGTATGATAAAGTACAAAGTTCATGAAGCTACATACACACATACACATGCACAGACACTGTATCACACAAGAACAGGATATTGCATTTTGGTAGCAGGGTTTACATTATATCAAACACAGTGAGTAGCAGCAACAGAAGAAGTATTATTCAAAGACATTCTTTGTCAACAAACTGAGTTAAATCCCATGTGCCATGGAGTTACCACTTGCCAAGGTGTTACCTTAATCAATACCTTGACCCAGAAAAAAAAGGTGTTCCAATCTTAAGCCACTTCCAAATGTGGTTTCATTTTGACTTTATCATCACAAGTACCAGACTACTGTTAACAGCAGAGATATACCATTCAAAGTGGTATTAATATGTGTGTACATTTTTTATGTAAGAAGATATAAATAACACTAAGCTTTTATGGTACTTTAGGAATCCCAAATATGCTAACGCTTTACAGTTCAAGTGTGTCCCAAAAGTCCTTCGAGAGATGTCTGCAAATTCATAATAAATATTCCTCCTAACAACAACAACAAAAAGTCCTTGAGAATGGAAGGGCTCTCATTAATTCTGATTCTGAAGAGTAATGGGAAGCTCATTTACAGATCAGAAAATGGGTCCATGACTTCAGAACAATTTTTGGCCAAGATATTTTACAAATAAGAGGAATTCTCCCTTATGGAAAATGTAAGGTTCATTCTTTTAGTTTCTTTAGGGCAGTGAAAATGACTTACTTCATTAAGTATCTGAAATTGTTTGTGCAAAGACCAGGACCAAGAACCCAGTCTGCCTCCTCAAGGGAGGGGCTGCTGGTCAGTGGACCAAGGGACTGTGGGCCAGCATGGGGAGAAAGAGCTGGCAGGAGCGACAGGTGGAGGACACGTTCAAATCCACAGCTAGAAGGAGGAGTTGGCTGCTCTAAGGAGTTTAAAATCAGAGAGGCTAGTCTCTTTGATTATGCCACAAAGAGGGCTTCAGGCTGTACCACAGAGGGAAGTCTGTGCTTATGATGCAATATGCTATTTGATCAACGATGCCTCCCATCAAGAGTGGACAGTGTGTTGGATGCAAATCTGGTACAGGAAGGAAGCTGTACCCTTGTCACATGGTATAACTTCAAATCTAAAAGAACAGCATTTTAAACATTGCTAATAACTGGGAAGAGGACTAGTGGCAAGAAATCCAGTAATATTAAAGCTAACACAGTAAGTGCATATTATTAACATTACTTCTGCCAAATGGTTCATTTAAAACTTCACAGAATTCATCCTAGTAGCGTATTAACAGGTAATTTAAAAACAATGCTAGAAAATATTACAAAATATTGTTAATTTGTGATACTTGGCAATATGGATCAGATACAAAAGCACAGTAAGGATTTTAGGTACTAGGCAACTGAAAATATAGTCTATGATGCAGGCACACTTGGAAGATAATAAAGATGTCCAAAGGTAGTTATGTTTCAGAAGTTGTTCCTGCTGAATATTAACTATGAGAAGGAAATGGAAGTTTTGATTACAGGGTGGTCACCAGATGAAGGAGCCTACTGGTGTTAAGCCAACAAATAACGGTGGGTAACCTGAGATTTTCAGATCTGTAACCTCAGTGGGTATCTAATTTTCCCATATTCACTTTCAGTTCAGTTCACTTCAGTCACTCAGTTGTGTCTGACTCTTTGCAACTCCATGGACTGCAGCGCGCCAGGCCTCCATGTCCATCACCAACTCCCGGAGTTTACTCCAACTTATGTCCACTGAGTCGCTGACACCATCCAACCATCTCATCCTCTGTTGTCCCCTTCTCCTCCTGCCTTCAATCTTTCCCAGCATCAGGGTCTTTTCAAATGAGCCAGTTCTTCCCATCAGGTGGCCCAAGTATTGGAGTTTCAGCTTTAGCCATCAGTCCTTCCAATGAACATTCAGGACTGATTTCCTTTAGGATGCACTGGTTGGATCTCTTTGCAGTCCAAGGAACTCGCAAGAGTCTTCTCCAACACCATAGTTCAAAAGCATCAATTCTTCAGATCTGTAACCTAAGTGGGTATGTAATTCTCCCATGTTCACTTTACTGGTATCCAAATGACTCTACACCACTCTACATTTATAATATTTAAAAAACAAGTTTGGCATTCCAATGATATTCACATACACTAAGTGACTGTGTTTGCTGTGGGAACATAGCTTTTCACTACCCAGAGTTTTATGTTCCTAAAAACAAAGAGTCCAATACAAAAGAGGGGAAGATGAAGACAATGCTCTGTCTTGAACTTTTTCTTCAGGATAAAATTTTTTATTTTGCTTTCCTACATTAATCTGAAGAGCACATTTTACCATCTTCCCCCAATACGACAATAAAAATTACCTACTCACACACTCGACTTGTCCACAATCACTTTTTCTGTCCTTCGACATGCCAGAGTATGATTTTAAAGAAAGGTGTTTAAGTTTGACCAACATAAACCATGTGTTTACATATTGTATTTAAGGTTAAAAAAACTGCCCAAGATGCAGGGATCTGTTTTTTATGATGAACATCATTTTTTAAAGGTTATTTTCTTATCAAAATAAACATTTTAAAAATCACTCAAGAGAAATGAACCCAACTCTTTTTTGACTACTTTATCAGCTGCTTAAATGTCATGGCTAACTGGAAACTGCTGGAATTAGGAGCTGGTGGTTGTTTCACATTGGCTTCTGGCAATGGCACTTGGGGCAATGACATCAGAATACAGCTGCCTGGCAACCTGTAGTCATTGAGCTATTTTCGGGATGGTCACAGAGAGTGGGCATTTGTCAGTGGCCATGAATCCACCCTAGAGATAGGAAAACAAAGCCACCATAAGTTGCTAACCTATTTTAGCTATGTCATCAGGGCCCTTTCTTCCCTCACGAAACTGTGGAGTGATTTGCATTACTGCATTCCATTATCCACACATCGCATTTACTGTAAAGTCCTAATATAACAGAGACAAATCGATATCATCTCTTTGCTGCTAATTGTAGCAGCTGTTAAACCTGTGAGACGTTACATAGCACAGGAGAACCCCTAGTTGGGAGGGAGATATCTTTTATGTGTCCTTGAGTGGAGAAGTAACAAAATAATTCTTTCGTATGTAACGAACCTCTAAGGAGGTTATAAAGATATTCACTGTTTTCCCTATCTTGCCCTTACTTCAAAAAACATGTTAAAAAATTTTATTTTGGGGACTTCCCTTGTGGTCCAGTGGCTAAGACTCCGTACTCCCATTGCAAGGGGCCTGGGTTCAATTCCTGGTCAGAAACTAGATCCCACACACTGCAACTAAGAGTTACATGCCACAACTAAGGGTCCCATGTGCCACAACAAAGATTCCATATGCTGCAACTAAGACCTGGGACAGCCAAACAAATATTGTTTCAAAATTTTATTTTTAATTCCCCCAAACCTGTTGTGACCACATTTCTGGAAGTCATGTAAATAGTTTCTGAACTGTAAAGATAGATCTTTCCTTTTTAAAAACCTGCAAATCTTATTTATAATGATAAGCTGCTTGTTTTTCTTCTGGTTTTGTTACTACACCATGTAAACAGTGCATGGTCAGAGCTGGCCTCGTTTTCCTTTAAACACTTTTGGGGAGCAGGGTCTACATCCAAGGGGTTATTGTTCTCATGTTACATGGAGTTGCTTTGTAAGCTCAGATATTTATAAACAGTACTTCGACCCACATTCATGTCTGTCAAGGTGTGACAACTTTTTAGGATATGTGGGACTGTGTTGTGTACCTTAGAATATGCCACCCCTACTCCTAGGGAATGCAACACCATTAGTACCAACCAGTCCCTGCTACAGCTAAAAGAACACTTCCCCCTCACATGTCCAGAATATCACCTGGTGTAGTCCTGCTTCTGCAGGTATCTCTTGCCCCTGTCTGGAGCTATTAGCTTATTTTTCCATACTTTCACTACTAGAGACAGAAGCTGGATATTTTCTACCCTGCTGCTTCCCCAGATCCCCATCTACACACAATACATATGTTCTCTCTGCAGGAAACTAGCTGATTACAGTGGACCTCTCTTAATGCTTAGGGGTGGATGTGGTAGGCAGAGGAGCTGAATATGGAGGTTTGGAAATCTGCATCCTGAAAGCTGGCTTCCCACAGCTTCAGTCATTCAATCCCTACTTCTTGAAGGAGCCTGGAGAGTGTGCTCTAATGAGCATACCTGTGCCAGTGCTCCCCTTGCTAACATACAGGCTTCCACTGATTTAAGAGAATACTGTAAAACAAAACCAAACCAAAACAGAAACAACAGCCGGACAAGGGAATGGTCCTCACCGTTTGTGTTTTAAGATTACAAGTCCCCTCCTCATTCCTGGCTTTTTAGTGGCCATGTACAGTTTAGTACTGCAGAGTTTACTAAAGGCTTTGTCACTCAGAGCACTATGATTCCATTTCAGCTGAAAGTAAGAAAAGCAACTGATTCAAATATAGAGGGATATGACTATTTAGAATAATTCTGAAATCACGTAGATCAATTTGAGTAAGAAGAATCTTGGTAGAAGATTGTTACAAAAAACTTCAGGAATAAAGGCACCTTCTTTCTTCATCTTTTGTAAAGGAATCAGGACTCATGGAGTCTAGGTTGACAACTTCAGCTCCTTCCAATCAATAGTGACAGGTCAACAGTAGAGACGACAGGATGAGGATTGGCAACAAAATTTAGAAAGCTGGGAAAAATCGCAATTAGTGGGTTTGCTGACTAGAAGGGAAAGCTGAAGGATGATGCGAGAGAACACAACTCAGTTAATTGTCCTGAACTCAGTGGATTCAATATGGTTTCTTTGTCATAGCAATGTGTCCACTGCATGGTCTATAAAAAGAACTGCATGAATAATGTTTTTTTGAGACAGGTTCATATTGATTCTTAACTCTGATAAAAGTATGGTCTGGGGGTAAGGGATAAGTTAAAAGTTTGGAAATAATTGATACATACTACTATATATAAAATAAATAAGGACCTAGTATGTAGTACAGAGAACCATATTTGTTATTTTGTAATAACTTACAATAGAAAAGAATATGAAAAAGAATATATATGTGTATATGTATCACTTTGCTGTACACCTGAAACTAACATAACATAATAAATTAACTATACTTCAATTACAGGTTTCCCTGGTGGCTCAGATGTTAAAGAATCTGCCTGAAATGCAGGAGACCTGGGTTCAATCCCTGTGTTGGGACGATCCCCTGGAGAAGGGAATGGCACCCCACTCTAGTATTCTTGCCTGGAGAATTTCAGGGACAGAGGAGTTTGGCAGGCTACAGTCCATGGGATTGCAAAAAGTCAGACACAACTGAGCAACTAACACACACACACACACACACACACTTTCCAACTGAAAAAAAAAGTTCTGTCTGGACGATAAATTTACCCCAGGGCTCCAATTAAGAAAGGATGCAAAGAGAGCCTGAATGTATTATAAAATTTGTAGGACATGGTCCATGACTGTTAAAAAGGGAGTGGGACTTGCCTTGGCTACAATCTAGCTCCCTACTGTAGTCACTACAGCAGAGACACCTACTGTATTCACATGTCACACTAGGGAAGAACCTTTGTATTTAAATACTGACTCTGTGCTTTCTCCTTCCAACTCCAGACACAAGGATGTCAAATCATACAGGTCAAGAAATTGGCCATGGTTTGGAGTATTTACACCATGGGAATCTGCAAGAGTAACAAACTAGGACTTTTTCTTTCTAGAGAATTGGTTGTTAAACTCTTACTAGCACATCACTAAGTACATGCATCTTGTATAAATGTTTGCAAAGGGGTTCTCCAGCTTAGTTTTTTTTTTACTGCAGAAGTTCATGAAACAGGCTTCACTTGGTAACCTTCAACAAAGTCAGAGAGAACTTTGCCCACACCATGGCTCCAGGACGGGGTCTGGAGATGAAGTAGCTGGGCATCATTAAGATTCTTTGGAGTGCATTCTTGGCAGCTGGTTCAAAGAAAGGTTAGTCTAGAGAGAGCAGCGCCAGCTGTTCTTTTCATTGTACTGCTTGCAGGATTCTTAGAAAGGCACTAAACGTGTCATTAAAGGTAGAAATAAGTAATACAAGTAAAACCGATTTGCCACAGTCCCGAAGCTATTACTACATAGAATAGATATTTCTTTTTACTGAGTATTAATAGGGACCAGAAAATGACAACTTGATGCTAACCAATATGACAACAATACTTTGGGGTTTATGTTAATAATGGGCAATTGGTTTCAAGAACACTGGGTGTAAAGAAGAAAGTGTAGTTCTGATAACATGGCTTGTTTCTTAAGCAAAGTGTGGCATGTCTGACCTTGGAATAATTAAAAATCAGACAAATGACTGCAGGTTATGACCTGTGATTGAGCCTCACCCTTATTAGAAGTCTTCTTGCCCAGGCAGTAACCTCTACGTGTACAGAATGCTATATGTTGTGATAGTAATTATATAGAGATCCGGTATTTCACTGCACAGGAGTATTTAGCCTTCCCCAGAAGAGCCAAATAAAATTATCCCATTTGCTTTGGTAGTGACATTTAGGACCTGAAAAGCATTCCTATTTTTATTTAGTTTGCTAACCTGGAATTACAGAGCAAATTACATCTCTTTTCTCTTTTTTGATATACCTGGGGGTAGAGGTGATTATTCACTTAGCCCCAAAGCTTCCTAGCAGAAGCTAGGAAAATCTGTAAAAGGTACAGATTTAGATAGGAGTGCTTCCTGTTTTCAGGGAGCAATGAAATATACCTGGTCTTTCCATCTGTACCCTGCTCTACTCCCGTCATCTACCCTGCCCACTGCAGCCTGGGGTGACTCCTGCACATGGGCCTTTCTCCAGTTCCCGCTTCCCACCCCAGATGCCTCCATCCATAGGTGGAGAGGATCACCTCTGAAGATGCAGGAGATGTCCTCCTGTTATCTCAAGGGGAAGCCTTAATGTTATAGAAGAAACTTTTCCAAGTGACCTTAGTCACAGTAGCCACCATTGGTTGCCTCCTCAGCACTTAGGCACTATGAATTCCCTGTAAATAAAGTTTTATTGGAACACAGTCATGCGTATTCAGTTATTTATGGCTGCTTTCATGCTACAATGGCAAAGGTGAGTCATTTCCACAGAGACAGTGTGTCCTGCACAGCCCAGAAGAGTTACTATCTGGCCCTTTAGAGAAAACAGATTGCCAAGCCCTGGCTACAGCCTCCTGCAGCTTCCTCTCTGTCCAGCAGAGGCTCGAGGAGCGCTTGGCCGGCGCCTCAGTGTGACCTGGCTTGCCAGCCCTCTTCTCCACTGTGCCTCACGCTTTAGGGGGACAGAGAAGTTGGCTTTTATAACGTGGCCAAGATCCACTTATAATTTCAGATGTTTTCAATTGTGGTCTAGCAGACAGAAGGGTCATCTCTCAGCAAAGCACTACTTTTTTCCTCTCTGTGTTCAGTCTGGGTTTCTTTCATGAGGAGACTTCCTAAAGGCCACAGGATCTCCAAGGTGTGGGGTAACCTGTCAGTTTGAGGGATTTTGGTGTCCTTAGGATGGTATTTAGTGCACAGAAATACAAGTTATTGTTACTTTACAGTTTTAAAAGAGACTATACAATTTATTAAATGTATAGTATCTGAAATGTAGTTTTTGTTGAAGCTGTTATAGTCAACTTAAAAATCTTAATACTCTATCTATACATTTGTTAAGTTTTAACAAATACATTCAAGAAGCTTGAATTACTGTTTAGGTCCATTTCAAAACTTCATTTATAAATGTAATATATTCGGTTTTCTCTTTAAGCATTTGGATTAAGAATCAAACATCCTGAAATAGTTAAGATTTTTTTCCAACAAGAATTCTTAAAAATTTCTTCCATTAAATTTATATATTCAATGACTCTCAAGTTCTGGAATATTCTATTTACAAGTTTAAACTCTCGTACATCTCTACATAGGAGGCCAATTCTGACCACTTACATATTTTAAATTAAATTTTACCTGCTTTTTTTTCACTTAGCAAAATGCTTTCAAGGTTCACCATGTACAGCATGTATCAGCACTTCATCCCTTTTTACAGTTGAATGTTATATTATATGGATATGCTATATATTGTTTATCCAGGTTCACCAGCTGATGGACATTTGAGTTTCTTCTGCTTTTTGGCAATTATGAATTCAGTTATATGAACCATTACTTTCTCTTTAAGACAGACATTATCAATAATTATTATACAAATTAATAGGTTAAGATATTCAGACTCACTGGGGATGAAGCAGCTCCACGAGTCTAATGCGAATTTCATTTCATCCAGATTCACTAGGATCTTCTGCTTTTACTAAGGTCACACAGATTTTGGATAATTATTCTCCAATTTTTTTCATATGTATGAGTCAGTTCCTTGAGGGTACAGGGCTTCCCTGGTGGCTCAGAGGTTAAAGCGTCTGCCTGCAATGCGGGAGACCTGGTTTCCATCCCTGGGTTGGGAAGATCCCCTGGAGAAGGAAATGGCAACCCACTCCAGTATTCTTGCCTGGAGAATCCCATGGACAGAGGAGCCTGGTGGGGTACAGTCCATGGGGTCTCAAAGCGTCAGACATGATTGAGCGACTTAACCTTCACTTTCAACGTACCCAGTACAATGTCAGACATAAATGTACTCAGTACAATGAAACTATAATGATAAGGGCAACACAATATGTAGTATATTTCACCCCATATTAAAATGTTAGTAAAGGAGAGAGACTGAATATTGGAGGGAAGTTACCACTCTTCACAATTAATTAGGCTAAGGTTTAGAAGGTGGGATTTCATGAACAGTTTCAAAACTGTAGGCCTAAGTGATTTAAACTCTATTATATACAAATGCCTGCAGGCAGCTGCAGTGAATTGTTTTGCAAACAGAAAAGTAAACAGCCTATCATGGAAAATAGAACCCAGTCCAGAAATCCCAAGACCCACAGGACACTTATGTTTTGAGCTATTCCTTTAATCTATGTCCAAATAAAGCAACTAATTTTTATCTTAGAGAATGGAAAGCACTGACATATGCAAAAAGAGAAGCATCAGTACACTTGTCTTTGCATGCAGGTGCAGGCATCGGACTTTTCAATAACATCTATAACATAGCCATTAATTGAAGAGGCAGCCAGTTTCCAACAGCTCACCATTTTCTTTTTTCTCTTCTCTCCTTCCTTTATTCCACTCTTTCAAAACAGCATTCATTTTGGACGCCAAGCACTTCTAGGGTGTTACACTTGCTTCTGCATCCTCTATGTTTGGGAAAATACTCATGTTACGATTTATCTTTATTTCAAGAAGGTAAATATTGTAAGTAGGAAAAAATCTACTTATGAAAAACTTTCTCCTGGCAAGAGAATATGGTTGTTTAGTCCTACCTATATGAATGAGAGCTAGTCAAGTATGTACTAGACAGGAAGGA